TCTAATTAGACTGAGTTACAAACCCAGGCAGCTTCCCATCATGCTAAAATAGAGATTTTATTAATTAATTAAAACTCATTTATTTCAGCTCTTTCATTCAGAACATATTTATTGCATGCCTATTATAAACTAGGAGCTTTGCAGGTGATAGGAATGCAATGTAAACAAGGCAGATGCTAACCTGGTCCTCAATGACATACGAAGATAGACATTAAACAACTAAGTATACGAGCAATCACCTTATTAAAATTGAGATAAATCCTGAAATAAAAAGCATATCATGCAATAAGTATGTGTATGAGATACTAATCTAACATACAAGATTAAATAAAAAATATCTGAAGAAGGATGTTTAATTAAAGCCTAAATAGGAACTGCCAAACAAAAAATAAAGAGAAAGCGCAAGTGGTAGAGACAAGAAAAAATTTGATGCATTTGGGGAGTGAAACCAGGCAAGTATGGTGATGTACTGTCTTAATTTATTAAGAGCAGTATCAGTCTGCCCCCTTGTGTCATTTTCTCCAACTTCTCCAAAATACAGAGCTAACTTCATTAAGATTCCTGGAATTTTTTTCAACTGAATATATAGAAGAGACAGTTGAGTTTAAAACAAGTTGAGTTTAGGGTAACTAAGACAACAATTAAAATAATATACTATGGAATCTAAGCTAGATAGAGAAGGAAGAAAGGAAAAGTTAGGGTGGCATAGAGGAAGGGGTTTATGATAAGTTTGAATATGCATGAAACCATTTTCTTACTATGTATTTTCATAAGACAGAGTATAAGATTCCCTAGGACTAAGTTTCTGCCTTCAAGGCACTCATAATATAGATGTGGACAGATAAATACATAAGCAAATAAGTGTGACAGTTTAGAATAGTGGCATGAGTAGAGCAGCACCTGCATGTGTCTCTTCTGAACTGTCGAAAGGGCACTACGGACAGCAAAGAAAATGTCAACACACACACGCATCTATGCACACATAGGATCTTATCTTATTATGCCAATTTTACTCTTTACTGCTTGTTGTTATCTGGTGTCCAGTCAGCTCTGACTCCTGGCATGAACGAGTTTGCATAGGGTTTTCAAGGTAAAAAAGACAAGGAACATAGAGATTGAGAAGAGAAAATGCAGCAGTGGTTTACCATTGCCTTTTGCTGCATAGTTTGTTTGTCCAACCCACATGTGCTTGGGTCCCTAGCAAATCACCAAGTGCCTACAAAATGTAAGCACCTTTGGGGCTTTACTTCTTACTCCCAAGTAATTTAATATGTCCATCTTGATTAAATGTATAGCTTCTTTCTAGTGGACATTTTAGAAAATAGATGTTTTTGTCCTGGGATAGTTTCTTAAGAGAAACATAGATGGCTCTCACCCAGCTCCACCCAACACACAATACATTCACGTCAAATTTTATTTTTTTGTAAAATAACAGGACACTGAGTAGGACAACAAAAAAGAAGAATATTACTTCTGAAATTACTAGCTTGGTTAGGGAAGTGCAAATGAAGTGAAAATAAACATAAATGAAGTGTGAATAAATGTAAATTAAGTACAAGGCTCTGAGTCTCATGGAAGATTGTTCTTTTCATTAAATCTTCCATTCCCGGCAGTGATCCTGAGGACAACAGTTATGTATGATTTTGAGGACAATAGAATTATTGAAGAGTTTCAAGGCATAAAGTGACACAATCATATAAATTGTAAAATGATCACTCTGACTTTTATAGAGTGAGTGGATTGGATGAAACAGGGCTGGAAATCCTTTAAAAAGATAACTTTGAAATACTCTCTGAGAGACGAATAATAGATAAGTGTCCACACCAGGTCGATGGCCATGACTAAGGTAAGAATGCAACGTATTTATCTACTGGAATGACTTATAAGCACCTCAAAGTTAAATATTCAACTCAAATATTGAGATAATTTTGTTGGAGATGATATAGGATAAATCAAGAAGAAGCCACAGGTTTCTGGCTTTGGAATTCATATTTGCGATGGTGCCACTTACTGTAAAGGAAAACAGAAAAGGGAGAGTACTTTTTACGGAGGAAATTAGTAAGTTTCCAGGTCAGTTCTGGAGAAATTAAGTTTGAGAAGTTTGTAAGCCATTCAAGTGAGTAGATACCTGGGAAGCAATCAGATAAAAGAATTCAGAATCAGACAGGCCTAAGTTTGGATCCTAAATCTACTAATTGTTTTTCTGTAATCTTTATAATTCTCAGTTTCCTCATCTGTGAAATTAATTAACTAATATTACTCTCATAATTATTTTTAATTAAATATTTAATACTTGTAAAATATGGACCAAGGGTAGTGAAAATTGCTTGGAGCACACAATTTAAAATAGTTAAAGAAGATGATCAACTCTGTAATGTGAGATGAGTAGCAGTGAAAAAATAAAGCAAGTAAAGGACACAGGAAAAGGGATTAATAATGTATAGCATCGAGAATAAAGTGTGAAGCAGTGTTTGATAGGTGTAGTAGAGAGAACTGAGAGCAACTTAAAGAGAGAAAGCAGGAGACTTTTTTAATTCAGAAACTGAGAAACACAGGAGTGAGTTGCATGTTAGGAAATACTAACCTTCAAATATCTCAAAATTAGCAATAAGAAAGATGTAAAACTTAGTCTTAGTACTCTTCTACACACATCATCACCTTCTTCATATAAATGGTGAGAAAACTAAACCAAGAAAACCCTTGGTGTTCTAGAAGTCTCAAAGAATTTCTTTCTCCCTTCTCACTCCTGCCTATACTTTGTACATGGGTAGGACTCTAAAATTTCAAATTAGTAGGAATTATAACCTTATTTTTATGTCTTCCTATGTTATATTAAATTTAACCTAATCAATTTTACCTCAATAGCCCCTTCAGTGGCCCTCCCCACTCCTTATTTCTTTTGCAAAGAGAAAAGGAGAATAAATTTGTCCTGGATCTGCTTGGTCTTCACTCCATAAACAACAGGATTTAGAGCAGGAGGAATAGCCACATAGAGGTTGGCAAATAAGATGAGCACATTTCGAGGGACACTGTGCCCAAAGCGATGAGCAAGGATGGAGAAGAAGGCAGGTGTGTAAAACATAAGGATAACACAGACATGAGAGCCGCAGGTGCTAAGGGCCTTTTGGCGGGCACCCTGGGATGAGAGTTGAAAGACAGCACGGAGGATGAAGGTGTAGGAAACAGCAATAAATATCACATCTGAGATGACAGTCATAAGAGGCACAGCAAATCCGTACCAAATGTTGATGGAGATGTCAGCAGAAGAAAGGCGAGCAACCCCTATATGCTCACAGTAGGTGTGTGGGATGATACGTGTCTCACAGAAGGGTAACCGTTTTAGCAGAAAAATGTCTGGTAGGATGATGGAGAAACTCCTTGCAACAATGCTCATCACAAGCTTGATGATCATCCGAGGAGTCAGGATGGTGGTGTATCTCAAAGGAAAGCAGATTGCCACGTAGCGATCAAATGCCATGGCCAATAGAATGGCTGAGTCTACTACAAAGCTGAAGTGGAGAAAGAACATCTGGGTGAGACAGCCGGAGAAGGTTATTTTCTGGGAGCCCATCCAGAGGTTACTGAGCAATTTGGGCACTGTAGCAGTGGACAAGATGAGATCTGTCACAGCCAGCATAGAGAGGAAGAAAAACATGGGTTCATGGAGGCTGCGCTCAATTGCAATGAGGTAGAGGAGGATGCAGTTGCCCACAATAGCCACAACATAGATGACACAAAAGGGAATCCCTATCCAGATGTGGAACTTCTCCAGGCCAGGTATTCCAACAAGGATAAAGGAACTTGGGTTGTAACAGCTCAAATTATACATAGTCTCTTCTGTCTGGAATCTGCTGGGTTTTGAGTCCTGAGAACAAATCAGCTGTCAGAATGGGCTATGAAAGATAACAGTTCTACACCGGTGCTGTACATGGTTGAGGACTGCAACTGTCATATTCGGGGTTCCTACGTGAAAAGCACCTCCTGTCTCCTGGATGAGCTAGCACCTACGGAATTGACTTGCCATTGCCCTTTTTATTTCCCATTGGCCCTTCATTTCTTTATATATTATACATTTCTTAATAAACCATAGGAAATTTTTTTTTTTTGGTTAAGCAATTTCATATGATTAAACCTAAATAACTGTGTCCCTGTCTTAATGCAGATTATGTAAAATAGGCCCCCGTCCAAATGGGAAAAAAAAAAGTGTGTGAAGAGAAGAAAGGAGGTGTGTGTGAGGGAAGGAGGGAGAGAGGGAGAGAGAGAGAGAGAAAGAGTGAGAGAGAGAGCAAGAGTGAAAGAGAGAAAGAGAGAGAGAGAATAAAAATAGTAAATGAGGGAGTAACTGACCTTTATAGAGCAAATGTTATGTTTCAGAAAATGGATTTTATAAAACAAGCTGAAGAATTTCAATGAAGCAGTAGAAAAAAAATAATGAAAAAGAAAGGGAACAAAAAGATATTCCAGTGCTGTGGGAGGTATGGGAGGTTTTGTAACACAGGTATTAAAATGCAGTTCAGATTAGGATGGATGCTTACTGGGATGTGAATATATGTGAACACATTTACCAGAAAATGCACAGGAACAAGAAAGAAGCATTCCTCTGACTCAGGCAGAGAGCAGTGATTTCAGAGGATGATTTACGTCTTCAAGGGTAATACCCTAAACTTTGTAGGATCTCTGTTTCCCACCATTAGTAAAGGAGACAGCTCTAACCATCAGTCAGACTGGCAATGCTTCCATAATAGATAACAGCCAAAGTTATTTGGCTTAGGCAAAGTTAAGCAGAGTTGATTCTCACCTCTTAGAGATGAAATAAAGAACAACTAAGTTTCACCACAATGTTTTCATTTGTGGTCTGCAGTACTTGGAACTGGTCTTTGGGAATTTCTAGCTTTGCACTAAATAGAGTCTGCCTTTGGAGGTACCTTTTTGTATTGAAAATATCCTTTAAGATTTAATTCCATTGTGTGATCTATTTTATAAAGTATTTTTTTTTTGTTAAATTATATTTTATTTTAGCTATATTTGAAAGGAAATCAGCAACAGTGATAGCAGGGAGTGCAGCAATTGGCGAGGCCCAGCATAACTTGAGCCATCCTCAGAACAGTTTTGGAGAGGTTTAGTTCTTACCCTCGCCAATAAATTTACAAAGTCATCCCAACAGCTTTTGAGGAACAAAAGCAGATTTTGTTGGATAAGTCATAACAACTCTATATTATTGCATTTGGCAGGAATCTGTAGTTTTGTGCAAAAGGAGGGAAGAATGGATTAAGACGTAGGATTTTGTAACATCTTTGCCAGAACCCCAATCACAGCTTTAAATAGTGAGTCTCTCTCATTTAGGGGATGGTTTTGACATTGCCAGAGTCCTTAGTTAGACAAAGTGAACAAAACATCTATCCAGAAAGTGGAACTAGCTCTCACTGTGTAAAGGCAGTTCCCGCCCCCACGCCTAAACGAATGAATATTCTAAGTTACCTCTCCAGGTTTGATACGGACTAAAATCCCAGAGACACTGATCTTATTAGAATAACGATAACAACAGAGTTCATATCACCTCCTGTGGTATGAAAAGCAAGTAGACTGAGAAGCCCCAAAATCTCTGTATAATTTAGGCTAGATTGCAACTCGGTCTCTTGGAGCACAGACTCACTGCCACCTGACAAGAAGCACATTTCCTCAGGGTTATGGGGAGTAAACTTAAAGGGGAGAAAAATGAAACACTAATCATTAAAACTAAAAGAGAAGGAAGTGCTCAAGAGAAAACATCTAAACCAAGGTCTTCTGCTGCAGTCAAAACCTATTCAGACTTCAGTACTTCTATCCAAAATGCTTCTTTCCTGATGAATTCCCTGCTGTATAACTGGTTACTTTAGTTGGTCTCACTTGAAATCAATAGTTTTCTGCTAGCATCTGTCAAATTATGGAATCATTGCTATCAGAATAACTCCTTCCACCCAGAGACACACATTCAAGGGCACAATCCTAGTGCCCTTGGACACTAGGTAAATGCAAGGATACCTTATCGGATAAAATCACATAGACAGTGTAAGGTTTACTTCTTCCCTAATTGAGTGTAGTTTTCAACTCACCAAACTGTCTTCTTTCTCTTGCTCTATAGAATTAATAGGAAGTATCTATTTAAAAGGAAACAAGTAAAGTTTTAAGCTGGTAGAAGTTCTGTAAGAGGTGAAATGAAAACATTTATGCTTTTCCTGTATACCCAGGAGATAGAACTAGATCATATGGGACCCTCCATTTCCCATTCCCAGACAAGGAATGAAATCAACCATATTAACTCCTTTCCCTTGAGATGGGATGTAGCTTGGTGATTTTAGTAGGCTGTAGAGATTGGGTCCCAAGGAGAGTCTATTGACTATTCAGACACAGTCAGTTGATATAACTTCTCAGATGCCTAAGTATGTTCTTGTATTTGAGGTATTCTTTAATTAGTCTATTTGTATAAACTTGTACCAATACTGTAAAATATAATCAAAATTTTCTAGTCTTGATATTGGAAAGTAAGACCTCCAACTTTTTCTTTAAAATTTTTTAGCTATTCTTTGCACTTTGCATTTCCATATAAGGTTCATAAGCATTTTCTCCACACCCACACACACACACACACACACACAAACATACACACACATGCACAAACATACATACATATACATACACATATGGTTTTTATTTTTATATTGAATTTATATATTAATATGGAGATATTTGATGTGTTTATAATACTGTATATTTATGTTATAAACATGATCTAAGCCTTCTTTTAATTTCCTCAATAATTAGTTAAAACACTAACTTAAAAGATATATGGCTCCTCATGTTTATTGCAGCATTATTTACAATAGCCAAGATATGAAAACAACCTAAGTTTTCATTCATGAATGAATGGATAAAGAAAACATGTTATAAATATAAAACAAAATATTATTATTAAGCCATAAAAATAATAAAATCTTGTTATTTGTGACAGTATAGATAGACCTTAAGGACATGATACTTAGTGGAATAAGTCAGACAGAGAAATACAAATACCATATGATCATATTTATATGTGGAATTTAAAAACAAAACAAAACACCAAGCTCTTAGATACAAAGAACAGATGGACGGTTGTCAGAGGTGGGGGCGGGAGGTATGCAAAATGGGTGAAAGTGGTCAGAAGGTACAAACTTCCAGTTATAAAATAAATGTCATGAGGATGTAATGTACAGCATGGTGGCTATAGTTAATACTGCATTGCATATTTGAAAGTTGTTAAGAGAGTAGATCTTAACAGTTCTCATCACAAGAAAAAATTTTCTATGTATTTGATGGATGTTAATTAGACTTACTATACACATTTTGCAATGTATACAAATATTGGATCATTAAGGTATACACCTGAAACTAATATAATGTCATATGTCAATAATAACTCAACAAAAAGTAAAAATACTATTTTTTGTTGAATGCAGGATATGGGTTTTCTATAGCTATTATCATAAATTATCAGACTCCATGGCTTAAAACATCACAAATTTAATATCTTACAGTTTTGTAGTTCAGAAGTCTAGCATAGGTCTCACTGGGCTAAAATCATGATGTTAAGAAGGCTGCTTTTTGTTCTAGAAATTCTAGAAAAGAATCTCTTTCTTTGTATTTTCCAGCGTCTAGAAGCCCCTTCCTCCATCTTCAAAGCCAGCAATGTTACTTCTGCCTTTCTTCCATGCTCACATTTCCGTCTGACTGTGCTCTTCTGCCTTCTTCTACCACTTTTAAGAATCCCTGTGATTACATTTGGGCCACCTTGGTATTCCAGGACAATCTCCCTGTTTTCAAGTCTACTGAGTCTATGATAGTCATCTGAAACATAATTTCCTTCGCCATGTAATCTCACATAATCATGGGGGTTTAGGATGAGGACAGCATTTGGGTGGCCATTATTCTGCTTACCACACCAAGTTTCATAATTTTTAAATTATGTGTGTGAAACTCACTATTTTTGATTCATTTTAATCTCTAGATATGTTAGTCACAATAGATACATTTAAATGTCTCATTTTGTTTTGCTAATGTCATCTTGCTTCTTAGTTAATATTTTACACATTGAGTCTATATTGATATATACAGATACATTTCCATATATCCTGGTGGTTTGCAGTGTCACTCTGAATGGGAACCCCTCTGACTTCTCTCTTTAAATTTCTTTCTGTGTTCTTCCCTTCAGTTACCTCATCTTATTCTCCTAGGCTCTCTGTCCTGAACCAAAGCTTAGTGTGGTGGCTTCGGATCCTGACCCAGTGATGATTTCATGGATATTACAGATCCAGTTACTGAGACAGAAGGAAGATGGGTTAAGCTCCTGATTGCAGAATGTATCTATATCCTTTCACATCTCTGGACAAAAGTCCCTTTCCATAAACTTTAATTCTGGAAGGTGGTTTGACAGCAGCCTTTGGGGGTGTGTGTACGTACGTGTGTGTGTTTAGTTTATGTTTTTGATCCAGAATTGTGTCCACCACTTTTGGCTGTAAATAGTGACCTTAGTTTTAATCCTCTATGTGAAAGAACTTGTTAAAATCCTGTAGGAGCTAATTTTTTTCTAGGCTGCCACTTTCTTTTTCCAAATCTGTAACTTATAATATCAATGGATTTATGAACTCCTTGAACCATAATCCATCTTTTATTTATTTTTTCTAGTTCACAAAGATGTAATTAGTGTTTCAGGAACCACAATGCCACAATTGTTGTTTTCTTAGAGCTTGAAAACAAATGTTTTGTCCCATTTTTCTATTAAAGTGAGAGAAAGTTTCATTCTTATTATTTACTTTTCATAGACTAAAGACAAAGTACCTGTGTTCATTTCTAAAATGACCACTGTTAAACCTCTCAGCTCCCTTTCCTCACAAGGGAATATCTTTAGGTGCTGGAAATGTCGTAGAGGAATATTTATAGTGTTCAGAAGAGTCTTCTCCTGCCTTCTAAGACATCCCAGTAGCCATTTTCAGGTCTGCTTTGAAGTAAACATTTGGATAATTTCCATTTGGGTCATAAACAAACCCTGAGCTCTTTTTTTCATTGAGATTACTTGTTTAACTCTACACCCTAGGATCCAGGCAATCTTCCCAGACACATCTGCTTCCCAGTAGTATTTCCCCAAAGAGAAATTTTGGCAGCCCAAGACATCAAGAGCAAAAAAGTTACATGGATATACATTCCTAATAATAAAAGTATGCACAACTGTCACTTGCCTCTAATCCGCAGAATGATCACATTCAAAATAGCATTGACTTGGATACAGCGTCACATCCACTGCAGAAAAAACTACACACTCAGGTGAATTATAGAGGGCCTGTGTGTCTTGTGACATTGTGAGGAGGAATACTGAGGATTGACTGGGAGGAACTGGGGTTGATGGGTCAGAGATGAGGGCCAGACACTTAAGAACTGTCGTGTGTGTGCATGTTTGGGGGGGACACATGAAACTAAGAACATGGGACCTAATAGTAACCACACTTCTGAAAAGGGATCAGAACATGATGATTTGAAAACCCTGTAACTTCTTACCCCAGTAGCTCTGAACTTCTGTCAGCTCTGAAATAACAAAAATTTCTATGATGTTGTTAGAGGCAAAGGAGGAAACACTATCTATTTATACCTACCAACCATCTATTTATCATTTCATCCATCCATCTACACACACATCTCATTGATTTTCTGTGGAAAACTCTTACAGAATCTAGGAATGGATCTGTACGGTCTTACAGAAAAGCAACATTGAGAACAATTGATACATTCCCACCCTAGAGAGTCAAATGAGTTACCTGAGCTGAGAAGGTACATAGCAGAGGGAAATACAGGTAGGCTATGAGTGCTAAGATGAAGATTAGACCAGGTTTTGACAGCATGAAGAGATTAGCAGTCAGGATGAAGATGGCACAATATCATTAAGCAAAATGAAAGCTCATTGAGATCCCATACTGATGAATGCAGGTAATATATTATTTCAATAATGATCTCAGGTCCTCAAATGAAAAGTCTTCTGATCACTATTAAAGGATGGCCCTAAATACCCACACATTGTCCTTGGATGGTCTTACAGGTTAAAGGTTCCTTATGTTCAGGGATTCTCCTGAACCCACCCAAACTTCCTACTGTGAATACAAATCTGCTTCATTGATGGTCAAGCAATCCCAGGGTCCCAGAAACACAAGATGGTGTGATTGCTACTCAAAGGTTCAGGTGATGAGGAGGAGAAAGGCCTAGAATTGATTTGCATAGAGCAAATCTATACTTGGTGACCACCGGACTTTTTTGAGTCCAGGAAACCGTCTCCGGCACTTTGTAAGTAAGAGAATATGTAACTAGGAGCAACAGAAAATTTCATTTTCTTTTCAACAGAAGGTTTTATTTATGGAGGCAGGAGCCTCTGTTAAAAGGCAGATGGCCCTTGGTGTATAGATTCTTCTATTGTGTATAAAAATTCAGGTCTTTCCTTGTAACGAGGTACTTCATACTGAACTGGAGGATTGAGTATTCCAGCAAACGAAGACATGACTGTCCCTGGAAAGTCAGTTTTTCAATAATTCAAGAGTGTACATTACTAGTAACTCAGAGCCTCAGTCAATCTAGCAATGGGGTCGGGGAGGGGGAACCGGAAGGCAGAGGTCAAAGGGAAAATTTATATTTCCCTCATTTCCACGGATGAGTGCTAAGATATAAATGTGCACATGCACACAAAGAGAGACATTGGGAAAATCCACCTTGGATTCCTTGTCTCATCAAAATTCATCCAAGATGGGGCAGTTGGGAACTTGACAAAACAGCACAAACAGCACACTTCTTTTTTTTTTTTTTTTCTAGCTCTGAACTTGATTGGAGAAGAGGTAAGAATAAAAATGCAAAAAGACATGGGGTTCCCACCAAGCCCTGAATGAGCATGCATTGCAGAAATAATGCCCCCCCCCCATCTCATGAGAAAAAGAGACTTTTCTCTTTGTTCCTGAGAACTCTCGCTTCACTGCAAAAGGCTGACCTGGGCAACAAACGCTTACCTACACCAGCTCTGAACTTGATTGGAGAAGAGGTAAGAATAAAAATGCAAAAAGACATGGGGTTCCCACCAAGCCCTGAATGAGCATGCATTGCAGAAATAATGCCCCCCCCCCATCTCATGAGAAAAAGAGACTTTTCTCTTTGTTCCTGAGAACTCTCGCTTCACTGCAAAAGGCTGACCTGGGCAACAAACGCTTACCTACACCATTGTTAAGAAATCCCACACTTGTGCTTTTGACTCTTACTATATACTTGTGAAAAATAACTTTTAAATGCTGGGAAAACAAAGCTAATATTTAAATTCCATTTCAATAAAATAGAATTACTGCAGTAAAATAATAAAAAAAATAAGAATAGACAGCTGTACAGAAACATTTATTTTCCTATTAGCTAAAATTTTGAAAAACTATAATTCTTCCAAGTTATTTCTTAAAGCAAGAGTAATAATGCTGAAAGTAAACTAATATGTATTCTTAAAATCATTTATTGTAGTCACAGTGAGAGGAAGCCAAAAAATGAATAGATAACATACTGGATTATTGCTTATGGTCAAGAAATGACAGAAATTATTAAAAACATTCTGTTGTTTAATTTTCATACTACTACATCTGGCAAATTTCTTTTTTCTTTTTTACACATGAGAAACTGAATCCTGTAGAATTGAGTTTACTTGATTAAGGCCAATATGTAGCAACACCAGAATTACAATAAAATTCTGTCTCACGCACACACTCATCTATCACTGGCAGAGCTGCAGTAGCCTTGACTAGCAGCACGTGGTATCTGAGATTTGATAAACGACACTTCAGTAAAATGACCCTAGTGCTCCCGAGAACACAAAAACCTCTTTCGCGAGACACTGTGAGAGCTTCTATTTTTGGTAACTAGTAGAGCAAATATTTATTATTAATTTTTGAAACTTA